CTGCATGGAATTTTAGCTTCAGGGCAATGCACATCTGCAACAGTCTTTTGACACCACCGAAACATTTTATACCCTCTCCTGTACAACATGCCTTAAAAAATTACTAATTTGGGGAAGTGACCATATATGACACAAAAATATTTGAAATTTAAATATAGGAATTTAAAAACTCATATTAATAATTAATCTAAACATTTTATTCAAACAATAATTTTTGTATTTCCCAGCTCCTATATCAAAAAGTTCATTTTCATCCTGTAAGGAAAGCGAGCACAGAGGGATATGACACAGCCCTTTGTGAAAGCTCTACCTTTTCCCTCTTGATTACACTTCGTCATTTGTTCCAGTTTGTTTCTGTGGGTGTTGCTGTCTGCGGTATAGGGAGCATTCGCTCCTGGTTCCTGATTAGTGTCCATTCTCCCTTGTCTTCATTTCTAATTCTTTGGCTCCTTGTGGAAATCAAATAACGATAAATGGAAAAACTAGGATGCCATTGTTTAAAGACAGGACAGAGCTGTCTCAAATAGTTCACGAGAGAGATGGATTTAAAGGGATTTTGTCCCTTTCTCAAGTACTTCCTACATTGGCCTGATAAGATACACATGAAACTGCAATGAAAATTGTTCAGAACATTATTTACTATTAGATTTGACAAATTTCAAAAGAACATCCCCATATAAGTTCTATGTAACTTACATATTCCTGTGCCAAACCCGTGATAAAACATTGTAAACCTGGACGGGAAAGTATTTCTCCAGACCTTTCTTTTGTCGCTCCTGTCCTTCTCAATTCCTTTATTTAACCTTAATCTCCTTGTTTAACCCCTTTCTTCCTCCTTTGCTCCCTCTTTTTTCCTTCCTGTTAACAGACTGTCTTCTTCTTCATCTTTCAAACTTAAAAGCCTTAGATCCGTCAAAAACTCAATGGCTAAAGGTTTCTTCTTTAATGAGTTTTCTACTGCTCATTTCTAGTGGGCCTCTAGGGCCAGGAACACAGGAGCAAGAGTGAACGGGGCAAGAAGGAGAAAAGCAGCCCCCACAGTGGTCAGGAGTAGCTCTGACAACCGGAAGTTCTAAGGAATGTAAACATTTTCACAAAGTACCAGCATCAGACCGGGCTCCGTGTGACTGTGGTGGTGGAAGAGAAAAGCAAGACCACTCCAGAAACATATCTGAGCACAGATTAAAAACAAGAACACTGTACTGTATACCTAAAATGAACCAATAAACTCAATTTTAAAAAAAAAGAACCTTGTGCACACCTCAATAGTGTCAAACACCTCTTTGCCCAGATAGCATGAATGACCGTCTTTATGAATTTCAACCCTGCCCCATGTCTGGGGCCTCCTAGATTAAAAAATTAAGATATTTTAATAGAATTTCTACTGCTTTCTGAGAGAATCAGGAAAAAAGAGAACATATTTCATTGATTACTCATCAAAAATTACCTAGCACAAGCTTGACACTCCATAGTGAGCCCTTTCTGTTACCTTACTCTTGAGATGCCCCAGGGTTCCTGAAGGTGTGGCTTCTTTCGGTGCCACCAGCACCAACAATCTCTCCTTGTTCAACTATGGGGTTTTGTGATGATTTCTGGCTGAGTGTTAACAGTTCCTTCTTTCAATCAGTCTTTCCTTTATGATGGTTGTGGGGATTTTTTAATATATCCACGAAAGAAGCAAATGGACCCTTCAAATGAGCTTTTTTTTTTTTTGCTTGGAGATGGCTCTCTAATTCTCATGGAAAAAATGTTCTTGCTATGAGTAAAACTTTAATCCTGCCCTTTGTGACTCAGGGATTATAGTATTGGTAGGCTAAAGATTATTAAAATCTTTTTTTTAAACTCTCTTGTAACTGTCACTACATAGACTGGAACAGCCTCTTTTAGAAGCCTAAAAACATTAATATGTATTTCTCTTAATTCTTCTCAAAATCTCTCCTATTTCCCATTTGATCTTGTCAATGGTGAAGAAGTATATTCCACTACATCTCATCACACAATAAGATGGGATACACTAGATTTGTTCATACAACAAGATTATTTTTAAATGTTGAATATTAACCAAAATCTCACTGCAATTTTCTCCAATCCAGGAAGCAAGCTTCATTCTAAAATTGTTTTCATACTTGTTATTCAGAGCCAGTCATCCCCGAGGCAATTTTAACATTATTTGAAAAACACAAATGAAGATTTCCCAACTGAAAAATTTCTTTCCCACTAGGCTGCCACTGGGAAAGAAAGAAATTAACATTTATTGAGTTTCTTCAAAACATGAAGCAGTCTCATAAAAATTTATCTCACTTAATCCTCACAATATGCTGCACAATGGGACTATTCAAATTTTGACACTTGAGGAAACTAGCGACTGATGGTTTCCCTGCAGAGCAGGGACTCTCACATATTATTTCTGCAGGACAGGTAAGTTGTACACCCATTGCAGATCTTTAGTGAAAGCTCAGTTGAACAAATGAAGCTTACAACAGTTAGGAAAATTGCCCAAATTCAAAAGCTTTTTTAAGACAGTAAAGATTCAACCCTTATTCTGACTCCACGTTCGTAAAATTTATTAAAAGCCTAATTTATTAGTTGCTAGATAATGTGCTATTTAAAAATAAAATCAATAGCCGGGTGTGGTGGCACATGCCTATAATCCCAGCACTTGGGAGGCTGAGGCAGGAGGATTGCTGTGAGTTCGAGAACAGCCTGGGCTACATAGTGAGTTCCAGGTCAGTCTCAACTACATAGCAAGACCCTGTCTCAAAACAGACAAACAAACAAATAAAAATAAAATCGATGACCATGGTAAAGAAATAAAATGTCTGTCAGTACCTTTAGTGATATGTTTTATGTTACTGTAACAAAATATCCGAAGCTGAGTACCTTATCAAGAAAACAAGCTTATTTAGCTCATGGTTCTGGAGGTTTGTGAGCATGGTGCTGGCTTCATCACAGCTCTGATGAGGCCTCATAGTAAATGGTATCACCATGGTATGACAACGGTGGGAATGAATGCAAAAGAGATAACACAGAAAGACAGGAAACCACAGCCTAGAAGAGGCTCATCTTGGTCTTCTTTATAGCAACCTACTTGGTAGAGTCGTAACTTGGTGGTAGAGCTCCTGCTTACCATAAGCAAAGCCCTGCATTTGATTCCCATTACTGAAAAACAAATCAGACAAATATAATGACCCATTGTCTCGGGACCAAATTTCTCCATGCATGCAGTATCCATCTTTCTGAGGGCAGCACCCAGTAAACTAATCACTTGCCACTAGGATCCACATCACAAAGGTTACACTTACAGTACCACTGCACTGAGGACCAAGCTTCCAACAAACACATGAACCACCAGGGAAGAAAGCGTATCCAACCCACAGCGCTGTGCAATACTTCAATCTGCTCCTAGTAAAAAAGTAAGTATACACTCTTATTGAGCTCCTAATTAAAGAGAATCTCATCAGAATTTTCTGGAGACAGTTCTTTCTTGACCATCAAACAGTAGAAGTCCTTGATATTTTACATTGTAGGATGAATTGTCAACCAAGTGTTCCTTTGCTTAAATTTGTAGTGGGATTTTCTGAGTCTGTATTTTGAAATAGCAGGTTTGTGATATTTTTATCAGTCACTATGACGTGTATTGTAAAAGAATAATCCAGCTTAGATATGATTGAAATGTGCTTTTACACGTGTCTAAAACATGTTGAGAGTGACTATTTTGTAAAATTAATATGCTCTAATAAAGTACTTTTTAAAGAAATAAACAGAAGATCAAGCAAAAAGCAACATGTTTTATTATTCAGAATATGCCAAGCCCTGAGCAATGTCCAGCCAGCTAGGATGTGAAGGATTTGTAACGGTCTGGTTCTACCTAACTCCCGTGATGTGTCTCAGAGAGAATGAGGAACTGAAACAAATCTGACGAAATAGGGAGAAACATGAGTGAATATACACCAGAAGAGAAAATATATTTTAATAAAGTCAGGCAGGAGAGGGGAAAGGAGAAGAAGAAAAGGAGGAAAGGACAATGGGGAGAACAGAGGAGGAAGCACGAGAAGAGAAGACCCCGTCCTAGCTCTCCACTCACTGACTCCATCACCGCACAGAAAGGCCCAACCCACTGGGATATCTCAGCCTGTTTGTCCACTCAGGTCGGGCAATGCAACAGTCTGTTCCACCCAAATAACTCGATAACTCTCCCTCTTCCTGATACAGCGAACTGCTCGCGAGCCGCTGCTTCTCACAATAAAAGGATGCTACCCAAATCAGACTGCATAAAATTGATCCCAATTCTAATGAGCTTTTAGGAGTTTATTGAAAAATCTTTTAGGCTCTCAACTCTGCTAGTAAACAACATCATTTTACTCACATACAAAAAGAGATTCTGTCAATACCAAACAGAACGTGCCATCCATAGAGTCATCACTAGTCTCCCTGGACTGGGATTCTGTTGCCATTGGCTGTGACACTGTCAAACTGATCTCAGCACTACAGCCTGTGCCCATTCTCTTCCTAAGCAAGGTCAGCCTCAGCCCTGGGATTGTCCCTGAGTGTACAAATGTGACTGTAATTTTACCTTCAAATGAGAACTGAAGGTCTTTCTCTCCCCATACCTTCTTTGCTTATACCCTTAATTTGTTGTTGTGGGTGTTTTGTTTTGTTTTGTTTTTGAGATAGAGTTTCGCTGTGTAGTTGAGACTGACCCGGGACTCACTATGTAGCCCAGGCTGGTCTCAAACTCACAGCGATCCTCCTGCCTCAGCCTCCAGAGTGCTGGGAATACAGGCATGCGCCACCCTGTCCGGCCTGCTTATACCCTTAATTTGTATTAGTATTTTGTTGCTTTTTATAATAAATCACAAAAATTTGGTGATTTAAAGCAATTTTTAATCTGGGAATCCTATAGCTCAGAAGTTTCAAATCATCTTTAATATGTTAAAATCAAGGCATTGGAAAGTCTTGATTTTTTATGGGAAATCTAAAAGAAAATCTGTCGTCTTGCCTTTTCTAGTCCCACTTGCATTCTTTTGCTTGCGATCTCTACTTCCATCTTTAAAGCAAGAAGAGTGGCGTCTTCTCTTCCCTCTGCTTTTTGCTCCTGTCCTTACATTTTTGTCCGCAACTCCTCTAGGTCTTCATTATTATTTCTTCTCGTGTCTCAGGAACTATGGTCTGAATGATGACACAAAGCACTCATGGCAGATACACAAAATTTCATGTTAATGACGTGTGTTACACCAATTCCACCAGGCTGTAGACATTTCTCAGGCATGAGACAGACGTCATTACATTGTATAACCACAGACTTCACAGATACACAGTGGTCTGACACCCTACTTAAGAGACAAGGGGTATGTATAGCGCCCTGTTCTTCTCTACAGACGAATGATGCAAGGATCCTAGTGCTCAGTTTACTCTTTTCAAAGGAAGCTCCATGAGAAAAAATAACTTTAAACAAAAGAAATCTGATGGATTTTACTTGAACACTAAAGGATTTGTGAATTGGGCATCACTCAAACCCAGAAGAGGTTCAGAGAGCCTGCCTTTAGCAGCATGAGCAAGCTCTAATAGGCTGAGTGTGAAGCAAGGAAATTACTTGATTGGGAAATGATAAATATCTGCCTTTTTTGGACCTGATCAGATACCTAGTGCTATAGTTAAGGACCAATTGGTAGATTGTGATCGGCTATGAATTAGCTGTTTGTACTTAGTTGAACTTCTGTGGTTCAGTAATTTCCCTTCCCACACACTCACCAAATCAGTTATTATGAAAGGTTCTGAATTGAGTTTCCCTTCACTTTTGTAAGTGATTCAGGTATAGAAATGACCTCAAGTTAATTCCATTCTGCTGTTTTTGTTTTAATGTCTTCAATTTTGAAATATGTTCAGCTTCTTTAACCATGGATCACCTGAAGCAACAGTAAATGAAGAAGCTATTTTTCCAAACTGCTTTGTAGGTTTAGCATAAGAAAAACTGAGGATATTGGTGCATAGATTCCCCCAGCATTGAAATCTTAAAGAAAAGAAGTTCTGTTTTATTGTTCTGTCATATACAGTCAGTTCTGCTTAGAATAACGTACGTGTTTCCAAAAATCACAGTATGCAAAATAATGCAATAAAAACCACCAAGTTCTATGAGTTTGTGGACACAACACTTAGAAACTAAGCTGACACATTAAAAACAGAATAGGAGCCTAATAAATACAGAAATGCTGTTTTGCAGTTTTAAATGATTAAAATATGCGCAAATGCTCCAAGAAATATGGCACTTTACCTTGAGAAATATCTAAAGCTTGCTGTGGAAGTGGGCATCCGGATTGCAGCTGATAAATTATTCTGAAGGGGTGAACGAAGGAGGGTTGTCAAAGCGGCTAGGAAAGAAAATCAGGCAGAAAGCTATGGATGCCAAATGTAAATGGGTGTGGCTCGTAACATTTGCAGTGCATTGAAATAGCTGGCAGATGTTTGAGGAGTGTGTGTATGTGTGTGTGTGTGTGTGTGTGTGTGTGTGTGTGTGTGTTGTGCATTCTAGAGTGGCCAGGCCCAGCTGGGTGCAGTTTTCTCTTCCTCTAGTGTTTCTTGTGGATGAAATCATGCATAAACAAACATGAAATTTATATTATGCTCAAATCGTTCTGTGATACCTCAGTTGTGTTGGAACAAATTTGCATTTTCAAAACAAGAATAATAAAAGAACTGAATGTATTTTTATATGAGTAATCTGATCAGATCCTCCTCAGGAAGAAATGGAATAAGATAGTAACCTACTGAGTTATTATTAAACATAAATTGTTTCAGAAGTCAGGCATCATAGAATTTTGTCACATCACAGATGGTAAGAACTGAAAATCCTACCCTACATTAATGACAAAATGGAGATGCAGAAAGTGTGATGTCTCACAAAGACACAAGAGAAAATACAGTCAAAAAAGCAGATTGAGGGCCAGGGATTTAGCTCAGTGGTTCTTCCACCTGCCTCGCAAGTGCAAGAACCTGAGTTCCATCCCTGATACAAAAAAAAAAAAAAAAATTGAAAAAGCAGATTATTCTAACATAAAGGAAATTCCCACTGAATTTTAATATTAGTCCAAAGTATTCTAGCTAACTACATGCTGTATGACTCCACTGTATGACGCTCTGGAAAACATAAAACTATAGATTGTAAAAGATTCACGGCTACTAAGGGTTACTTGGGAGAGTCAGGTGAATCTGCAGAGCACAGAGGATATTTTACTAAATTTATTCATGTCTTTATACATTTGTAATTTGTGTGGAATAAAAAACACTAGGAGTCATCCATAATGTGAACTATAGACTTTGATTTATAAAGATGTGTCAATGCAGATCCATCATCTATTAACAAATGTAGCAGCCTAGTGGAGGATGTTGATTGCTGGGAGATTTGTGCTCTGCATTGAGGCAAGAGTTTATGGGAAATCTCTGTACATTCCTCTCAATTTTTCTGCTAACCTAGAACTGCTCCGAGAAGCCTTGAGACCTCAAATCATGCTGTTCTTTGGTATATTTTCCAACCTCAGTTCTGTCATAGTCTTCTGAACTGAAGGCGATATCATCCAGAAGAGGCGTAGAAAATTCACACAGCTTACATTGGTCAGAAGCAAGCATGTGCTTTATGATATTTCTGTCTGAACCAGTTTTTCTTTAGAATAAACAAAGGGTGATGGCTTCAACATTCGGCCTAATGTTCTAACTGCAGAGAAGCAAATGAGTTCATCAGTGTGTGAGCACTAAGGGACAGTTAGCAAGGGCAACCAGTGGAAAGTGCATGCAGTTGTGAGCTTCTCCTCCAAAAAGGAAGGGAGCCAGAAACTGCAGGGCGTTGCTTGCAGGCAATTACCTGGCTGGATCCCAACCAACAGGAAAGAGAGCCTGTGGTCAGTCTCGATGAGAGTCACACATGGATGAAAGAGTAATGGTATTTTCAATACCACAATATCACTTGTATCTTCCTTTAATGTGTGTGTCTTCTTCATCAGATTAATGCAATGCTAGTATATTCCCTGCTTTTGTCAGCTTTCCATCACTATCACAAAACACCTGATAGAATCAAAGAAAGTGTATTGTGGCTCACAGTTTGGCAGTTCCAGTCCATGGAGAACTGGCCCTATTTCTTTTGGGCCTGTAGATAGGCAAGACATCCTTTGGGGACTATATGGTAGAGCAAAACTTACCTCATAGCTGAGAATGAAAAGCAAAAGAGCAAGGGGCGGAGATTGCACTATATTCTTCGAGGCATGTCTCCAACCATCTAAGGACCTCTTGATGGGCTCCGTCCCTTAAAATTTAAAATTTCCATATAGCGTCAGGAGGAGGACCAAGCCTTTAACACATGTAATTTATGGATTTTTTTAACAAACAAAAATCCTGACTTCTAAAACATGTTTAATCCCTGGATGACAAGCAATTGGAAACCGATGCGATTTTTCAAAGCATTCCTGTCAACCTGGTAACATATGTTAAGTTTTACCACAAATACTAAAGAGACTTGTGATTATCCTCAAATGTGCTCTCTTTTGAGCACTTGGCTGAACATAATTCTCAGCATTCCTTGCAGGTATTTGTGAGCAGATGACCAAGTTAGAAACAACAACAACAAAATGTCGGAAGCTTGCATTCATATGTTTAAAGGCAAATCTCTTACTCTGAAAATCCACCTTTCCTTAGCATCCCATTCCCACTAGCTTCAAATAGTCACGAATGAAGTTTCAAAATGGTTAAAGAAAAATCTAAGATAAATGTAATGTAATAAAGTTTATTTGAACAAGAAAAGTTTCTAGGACTGGGTGGCATTCCAGACAAAAGTTGGAATGCTGAGATTCCATCTCACTTCACAAAGAATGGCTGTTACTAAGAAATGAGCCAATAACAAATACTGATGGGGCTGTGGGGAGAAAAAAACCCTTCTCCACTGCTGGTGGGAGAGTAGGCTGGGGCAACCACTGTGGAAATCAGTGTGGAGATTTCTTAAAAAATTGAAACTAGGGGTTCTGTTTGACCCAGCTATTCCCCTTCTTGGTATCTTCCCAAAAGAATTAAAGCATCACACCACAGCGATATATGTGCACCATGTATATTGCAGCACAACTTGCAATAGCTAAATCTTGGAAACAGCTCAAATGCCCATCAATCAATGAATGGATATAGAAGCTGTATTTTTTTTATTCAATGAATTGTGGGGACTGCCCCATTGATTATGCCCAAAGCAGGCTGTGAGCAATGCAATCTGTAAAGAGTTAACCCCTCCACTAGTACCTTCTAAGAAGTGAGTCTGACTAAAGTTCACACGGCTCACAGGGGCATTGTGAATGGCGTGTGGGCCAATATCAGTTCCCCACTACTGGCCGTGCAGAGACCATAGAAATGGCCTGTGAAGCTATGGGCTTCATATGAGACAACACACAGCTGAGGTCAGAGTGACTTGCATCCAAATTCCATTGCCAAAATTAAAACCTTTTTAACTAGGACAAGGTTAATTTTTAACCACAATCTATATTTTGTCTGTTCCATTCCTAATGCAAGAATGCTTTGTTTCTTTCTTCAGGAGCCTTGCCTACAACAACAACATATCCCTAGCAACTACACATAGCCCCTTTACCCTGGCCTAACTATGATGTCACCAATAAATATCAATGGCTTTGGCTGACCAGGGTCTTTGTTAGCACTGACCAGAGTCTGTTTAGCACTGGCCATCCTGGATCCCCAAATCTATTTCTTTAACTCTGTGTCTGTACCTGTGTCTTTGGTCTAGCCTTGCATTGTAGCACCGAGCAGGAGATTGAGACCCCACAATCAGGAAGTACTACTCTGCTATAAAAAAGGGTGAGCTTGACACGTTTCTAGGCAAATGGATACAGCGTGGGACCATACTCTTAAGAGAAGCACATCAGGCACACATGAGTAAAGGTCACGTTGTTTATCCAGTGTGAGAAACCAAAAGCTTACATAAGGACGAAAATGTATGATATATATTGGGAAATGGGAAGAAATTATTCAAATGGGAAGGGGAACAAGGAAAGAGGAGGGAGAAATAAAGGAAAAAACAAGAAAAAAGAGAAGAGTTGGAAAAATGAAACAAGGCTTTTGTAAATAAAGAGAGGAAGAGGGTTTGAAGGGAGGAGAGGGCAATGGGGCAAAAAGGAAAGGAAGATACAACATGTACAGGTATAGTTCCCTATAATCACTGTGATCATGGTGTTGATCTAAAATGTGCCAATACAATTTTTAAAAAGAAGATGTGGGTTTTTTTATGCATGGGGTACTATTCTGCCATAAAGAAGTGTAAGCTGGAGACATTTCTAGGTAAACGGATGCATCTTGACATCATATTGTTATATGAAATAAAATAGACACATGTATTTCAATATCACATTGTTTCGCTGGTGGAAGAAACCAAACATGTGAATAACGACCAAAATGTACAATAGATAATGGGAAATCAGAAGATACTGGGAAATGTTCAAGTGTAAGGGAGAACGAGGGGGGAGAGGAAAGAAGAGACAAGAGCCAAAGAGAATAGAAGGGGAAAAATGAAAACAGATAAGGAGGGGAAAGGGGTTTGAAGGAAGAGGAAAGGAATGGGGAAAAAATATAGTGAGACCACTGCTCAGAATAAAGAAACAGAGGCAGCGTAGTGTGGGCGAAGCGCTACTGGAAAACTGTAGCGACAAAGCTTTTTGTAAGAAATTACCTTCTCAGATGCAGTTTGCTCATCTAAAAAGACTGGATGTCTCCCTCTGAGCTGGTGTCAAGATGAAACGTGCTGATGTGTATGAAGTATTTAGAAATATGTTTATTGGACAATATATAATTACATTTCTAATTACATACTCTGTTATGCTGTATTATATATTCTTATCTGGATTTAAGTAAACTGCTGAAATAATTCTAAAGTGAGAAAAAAAAGTTGGTTCAAAATGTCCTACCCCATCATATGTACAGATTATTTTTATAGCCAAAGACAAGAAGCAAGTTATGTACAGAAACAACCTGATTGGCTACCACTGTATTCTGCATTGCATGGACAAAGTGTAATGAGATATTTACCTTATATAGATGTGGTCTGATCAGTTGGTGGCCAGTGATTTGCTGATGCCCAATTGCTGTGATTGGCTGAGATTCAGTTCCAAAGATACACTCTTAGCATAGATTACGACTCCTTTACACACCAAATTATGGTACAGTGCACTAGGTACAGACGCCACTTTGGTCTTTGGTCTGTGTATGGAGACAGGTTTAAGTCAAACAACTCAGTTAGTAAAATCGTGCTGTGGAGTGGCAGAGACACTGTGCCAGCCTCAGCTTACTGCATGATTTTGTGGGATCCCACTTATTATATTCACCACAGAAAGTGACCTGAGAGAAAGAGAAAACTCCCTGCTATTTAATTCATTGCATTTGAGGTTATCATTATTGTAGCATCTGACATTTCCCCTACTGTGGGGACAGAATGTTGCCATGCGACACTAACTTGAAATGAGCAAATGCTGATTTCATAGTTCCTACTAAAAAATGAGTATTTGTCCTCAAACCCTTTTAAATAGTTTTCTTAGATTAAGTAAAACACCCTTTCAGCTCATTGATTTTTCCCCCTCTCATTGAATCCCAATTAGCATGCAAAGCTAATCAACCTTGACTCAAATGAGGAAATTGTTTTCCTTACCTTTGTTTCCAGGCTTTTAATTGAAAGTTTTTTAACTAAAACTTGCCTAGATAGTGTTCTTTCTTCTCTAGTAAGGTGTGACTGTAGCAGCACTCAATATCAATATCAATAGGATATCAATAGATATCAATAGGAGAAGGCAATAGTATTGAGCTTTAAAAAACTAAACAACAACAACAACAAACTACCTTTAAAAAGTGCTAGCAAAGCATTCTGGCACACACCTGTACTCTTAGCACTTGGGAGGCTGAGGCAGGAAGATCGCTATAAGACCGAGGCCAACCTGGGCTACATGGTGAGTTCAAATCCAGCCTGAACTACATAGCGAGACTCTGTGTAAAAAAAGGAGCAGGAAGAGAAGGAGGGGGAAGAGGGTGTGGGAGAGAGAGAAGGAAGAGGAGAAGGAATGCTAAAACAATAAGCATTACAAAACATATCCTTATAAACTATGGGCATTTTTTTCAATAATTGATTTCTTACAGTACTCCAATTCCTAATCATTTCAGACTTGATCTACCATTTTTATTAATATTTAAAATGCTTCTTTCCCATAACACATTGACTTTATCTAAGTATAACAGGTTGCCAGGAGAATACCCATGGACAAGTCCATTTGGTAATCAGAAAATTCTCCACCATATTGAGAAAAATACTGGAATTCAGAATAGAAAGTGCTGATATTTGGGGGTGAAATCAGTGATACTCTCTGGTAACTTAATAAATAAGAATGTAAGATTTCTACTACATTGGATTTTAGTACTCTATATTTTGTGCCAGAAAAACTGAGGTTTTTGGTATTGTTTTTTCTTGTGCTGGTCAATCAAATGTAAAATACAGAAAAAGAGAAAGGAGACTCACATATGAAAGGGAAAAAAATTAGTTTGCTATAGCATCTTATTACTTCCCTCCTGTGACTTTTTTCTCTTATTAATTCTTTATGAATGAATTTGATACTGTTAAAATGCAATAGTCCCCCTTTACTACAGGGAATACACTCCAACAGCCCCCATCAGATGACTGCAATCAACCATAGTACTGAATCCTACATGAACACTTATTCCTAGATATATGCACCTATCAGAAGTTAAATTTATAAATTAGGCATGGTAAGAGATTAGCAACAATAGCCAGTAATAAAATACAAAAATTGTAACAATATACTATAAGTTATACGAATGTGCCTATCTCTCGGTCTCTCTGTTTCTGTCTCCCCCCTCTGATAATGTCTCCCCCCTGTTTAAATACCATACTGTACTTTCAACGTTTCACTGAAAGGAAGGACTTTATTGCTTCTCTTTGGCATAGCTGAATTGCCAACAATATTACTCTTTGCTCTGTAGCCATCAGTAAAATAGGTGTTGCTTAAACACAAGCTTTGAGATATACATGTCAAGGAACACAATGAGTATACACACAAGATGGCTACCAAGTGATAAACAGCCGCTTGTGTAGCAGTGCGAATGTGATAGACAAAGGAGTGATTCACATCCAGGGCATGATCATGAAAATTTCATTACTCTGCTCTCAGAAGTGAGCAATTTAAAATTTATGAACTGCTTACTTCTGGAATTTGCTATGTGATATTTTTGGTCTTCTGTTGATTATGTGTAACTGAAATCGTGGACAAAGCAAACCACGGCTAAGGGGAGATTACTATAGAACAGTAGTCCCCAGTGTTTCAGTGGCCACAGTCATCACTGAAATGCTATTTCAGTAGATCTTCGCTTGATGTTCTTCCACTTTCCTGCTCTGTAGCCTCATGAATTTTCTTCAAACAACACCTAAGAGTTTCTTCTAAAGCTCAATATTTGAGGCTTAATCTTTAGTTTTTCTTGGAATAAAGTGATGCTGTCAAAATTCTTTAGGGTTTATGTATACGATGATTGCCGTAAAAATTCTTTTTCCACCCTCAGTCTTTCAACAGGACTATTCTCTATCTTTAAAGCTCAGGGATTAACTGTTCTCTCCATGTTGCTGTACCATGATCTCCCTCAAACTCAAATTTTCAGTCGAACTGGCTTCTTCATCTAATTCCCACTAAAGAACCACATAGCACAGTAGTTGAAAGGGGAACTCTAGAGATAGTAGACCAAGGTAAGCGCCCTGCTTTGCTCTGCACAGAAATGTGGCACTGGGCAACTTCTTTAACCTTCCTAATAACAGAAATTAGGCATAGTGTCTGGACTATGACAAATGTGTTTAATAAATTCAAGCAATTATGGTCTATCAGACATAATTTACCATGAGATTACAATCCCATCAGAGAAAAAGTACATTTGCACAGAGCACATTTCAAGTCCCAGGTTTTCTCCTTGCCTTGATTTCATAAACACACACAGACATTTCAGAGCAGTGGTTCAGGACAACGCAATGGGATCACTCACCTATGCATCAGGCTGTGATGCTCAGTCATCAGGTGACAGCTCCCAGAAGGCCAGACTCCCAGGTAAAGGCTAAGGATCTGAATCCAAACACAAAGCCAAGATACTGTGAACTGTCCATAAGGGGGTTGGAGGTGAGAAGATGTATATAAAACAGAATCTGATTTCTAGCAGCAAAACACAAATGGAATTATTATATAGATCATATATCTTCAACAGCTTGATCTTAGCTTCTTCCATACAGTGGCTAATAGAAAAAAATCAGACCATTTATCCAACTCCTAAAGTTAATAAGAGCAGCTTTGTAATTCTTTACGTAACAGGTACTTTATTCTGCAACCATGGTGATAATTAATCATAGATTTGGAGCCAGACCACTTGGGTTCAAATCCTGCCTGTTACCTCTGTGAAATAGGACAAGTTTCTCAACTTCTCTTTCCCTCATTTTCTCACCCAGTAGCTAGAGATAATAACAGTAATTATCTCCTAGGTTGTTGTGAGGGTAAAGTGAGTTAATGTGTTTAAGCATTTAGAACATTTTGTTCCAAGCAAAGAGTGCTAGAAGCATTTGCTCCCATTATCACTATTATTATTATCATTGCATTTCAACACATTACTTTTCTCAGAGGAATTGTCCCTCTAATGCCAGCAGAAAGCAATTTAAATGTCAGTAATGGAGTCAGAAGCAATCCTCTGCTTGATGGGATTCTTTGTTATGAAGAAGCTTGCTATTTGGAGCTGTCCCTGTATCAAATGTACAACATATGCATCTACAGAAGTGAATCTTGAAGGCAGATAAACTTGGGTTCAAAGGTGACATTCATAACTAGATTCCACTGTATTTTCATTCCAAATTAGCTTATGAATATATAAAATAAAGAACTAAAGCCACATCAGTTATTAGCCTTCACTTCCTAATTCACAGCAAAGTCTTCTCCCTATTTACATAAACAGAAAGCCCATTGCAAAGAGGTGGATGGAGAAGTAGCCCAATATTTAAAGTCATTTCACTGCTACAAAAATGTAAGAGTTTTATTGACTTGCTAAGTATTATTTTCATCATCCTTCTTTTTGTGTACATAATGTATGTACCACTGCACAAAGCCCAACAGTGCCAGAAGAGGTTGCCACAAGGCCTTAAATAGGACCCCAAATTGTGCCCTGAGTGGAGTGTAGCCCAGAGAGGGTGTATATGCATCTGTGTATACTAGCAGATAGAAAATCAATCCAAATGCATAATTAGACATTTTCAAACATGATTAGGTTGTCTTTCTAAATGTCATATGAAGGATAATGCATGCCCTTTTATTTTTCAAGAACTGGAGGGAGATTTCTTTTCAGTGTCAACAGGAAGGTGACTTAAATCTATAACATATACCCCAAGAAATACAAGCCTAAGGAGGTAAGTAGAGAAGCTGCAGCCACTCCAATAAGTTTTCCTATTAGCTCAGAGGCTGGAGGGGAAATCATACACCCAAATACTCTCAAGACTCCAGCAGCTAATAAAAATGAGCAGAATGAGCTGGTGGAATGTGTGTAGTAAACTGGAGGTCATATAACTTGCCAAAGGACACTAGCTGATTTTTGCCATGTATAAATGAAGGCTAGTATATCCACATGAATTAATTTTTCAAAAGAAGCTGGAAGTCTCTATTTTTAGATTAATTTCACAATTTAAAAATCTTGGCAACCAATGCGATTCTGAAAGAGATGCGTTGCCAAAAACCACGCACACACACAGAATTCGTCTGCAAATTTGGAGAAAAGGCCCAAGTAGAGCCAAGTGGAGGAAGATCTAGTAGAGCAATTCCCAGGCTCTCCTGTTATACAAGTCAGGATAGCCACAGAGGGAAAAATAAAATCTTTAACTGTTGCTTAAAAACCAAGCTTTGCAACCTGATGTGTTGCCAGGATAACTCTGAGCTAAAGGAATTAAGAAAGATCTGCCCTGGGCCAGAAGCAGTTGGAGAAATTCTTGGGCGATATATTTAAGAAAAAAAGAGAGAGGAACAAATTTCATAAATTGCCTTGTAACAGGTTATTTTCTTTAAAGATCCTGGAGATTTTCAAGGACAGCAAAGGGGTGGTAAAAATTCAAAAATAGAGAGGAAATGGAGGTTGAGCTATGATGATAAATGAAGTGAGGAAAG